CAATTTCGTTCAAACATCACGCAGATAAAACAGATGTAGGTAGTCACAGGTCGATTACGTTGAGAAAATATGCATGGAAGTTCAACTCGTAGTTATAAATTCGACGCAAACACGTAGATTAAAACGAAGAATGTTATGATTTCACGAAACTTTCGTCAATATTTTTGCATTTGACTTAAGTTTTTGCACCATATGTAAATGCATAAAATAGCAAAAATCAAACCACTTTCCTGCTTTTGGCTGTTGTAATATCCAATTATCTCGCCGTTATTGCATCTGCCAACTATTAATTTCTTCTTTATAATGTATAATGATCGCACACACACACAACCACTAAGCCAATCCGGCTCGAAGGACCATGTACAGATCCCACATAAAAAATGAAAAGGGTTTCTCGCGCTTTTAGCTTTTGAATACGTAGATGAAATAAAAAAGACAAAACTGTGTCCAAGACGAAAACAAGAAGGATTTATTTGTTACCAATTCCTTATATCTACAACACTGACGCGAAAGTTTAGCGCGATTCATAATGGTACAGCGCCATCTAGTGGCAAATGTTATAACTACTAATTGTAATATATTTTTTAATGCTTATTCGAACACCCAGAGATATCATTTTTTAAATTACCTGAAATATTGGAAAGGTGTCTTACCTTTATAGAATATTTTTTATATACCTATCTACTAGTACGTAATTTGTTTCTAATATTTAGGTACCTACTATTTCGATTTTTCCATCGGGCAAAATATCTGGAATAATATATAAATAAGTGGTTAGGATGAAAAAAGAGACAAATGAGTAATCTACCTACACTCGCGTTAAAAACAAAACTACATAAAATACTGTAGGCGGGCGGCCTTACCGCGTGCTAACGCATCGCTCGGCCGTAGGCATTTATTTCAAGGACAGGGCGGAGTCACAATACTGTATAGATAATATTACCGTGCTACGGGTGTTACAGTTCCGTACCTCAATCGGCGTAAACGGAACCCTTATAGGGCAACTTGGTTGTCTGTCTGCTTGTCAGAGTCGATTTGCTCAAAATCTGATGAACCGATCAAGTTGATATTTGGTACATAGGTATGAACATGTATGTCTGTGACCCAAATATGGATGAATATACTTAGTAAATATACCTTAATAAATTCCGAATATGTAATAGGGTTGATTTTGCGGGGCGTCCTCTTGAAAATTAAAATTCAGTTAATTGTGAAGGCTTCAAAAAATTAATAGCTTCAGTTTTTATCTTCAAATACTGCATTCCATATTTAATTTCAAATTTTAGATTTGATATAAAATATGGAATTTAGGTAGCTGTTTGGTTGTAGATACAAAACCTACAAGAAGTTTGTAGTATCTAAAACAAAATCAATATTTAAATATGTACAACCGGCGTAATTTTTTGCCCTTTTTCATCGTTATATTTATAATACAGTGTCTAATGTACGTATAAATAATGACACGGACTCATCGTGCGCGAGTCCAACTCGCTCTTGACCAGTTTTATATTTGGGAGGTCTTTGGTCTTGGCAACTTCGTATCTAAGTGCGACAAGGATCTTTATTAATGTGGCAAAAATTGGAACTAACGCCGCCATCTTACTTAATGTAATAGCCTGCGTAGACGAGGGACTTCTGTCCGTGGAAGACTTTTGTCCGCGGATAACTTTTGTCTGTAGTAATAGATCGGTTACAACTGCATCGAGTAACGCACATGACGGCTTAAAAATACCGCGGACAAAAAGTCCCCCGAACTACAGATTACTTAGTAGTTATGCCTGAGTACGTGAGAGTCCGCGAAAATATAGAACATATGTGACAAGAGGCGGAAACGCACATGGCGGCCTTTAGTCCGCGGTGCGCGCTCGATGGTGATGTACACGGTAAAAAAGTGGAAAAAGAACACCTTTTTAGACACGATACGTTAATATGTTTCTTGCTTTAGCGTTATGTCTTCGGAGCCCACTATTTTCAGTGATTAAATGAATACGAGTATGTTGTTCGTATGTTTTGCATCTCTGTACGCTTAAAGTATATTTAATTATCTTTGAAAAAGATCAATAGACACTGTTTTATTCAATATTAGAATCTTACCTCAGAGACCGTAGTCAGGCAGTTACTGTAAAGGGGCACTGTTCAACTTTTGTCCCGGTCACATCAGGTGTGCCACAGGTATCCCATCTCGGTCCTCTCTTTTTTAATTTGTTCATTAATAATGTAGTTTCAGTTCTTAAATATTCTAATATCTTAATTTATGCTGATGATATGAAGATCTTTAGAAAAGTCACATCTCCCCAGGATGCTGCTGTGCTCCAGAGTGATCTTGACAGTCTTTGCAATTACTGTCATAAGAATTGCCTGTATCTTAATCCTAATAAATGTAGTGTTCACCTTTACTCGTAAAATTAAAGCAATAAAATAAAATAAAAATCTCAATGGTAAAAGGATAAACAGAGTAATAGTAATCAAAGATTTGGGTGTGACCCTTGATAGCAAACTGACGTTTGAGACGCATATCAATGATATTACAACTAGGGCGTTACGTATGCTTGGGTTTATAATTAGAATAGGAAAAGACTTAAAGCACTTTTCTTCATTAATGCTATTGTTTAACTCCTTTGTTCGTTCTATTTTAGAATATGCGTCCACTGTATGGAACCCACAGTATAAGGTTCATATAAATTCAATAGAGAGAATCAATCATAAATTTTCGAAATATTTAAATTACAGAGCACATCTGTATAACCAACCTGTGATAATTGTTTCTTCCTTAACGGACCCCCCCCCCCCCCTCACAGGGGACATGACCCAAAATCTAAGGTCCAATTGAAAAATCTCAAAAAATTGCCAAATAATAAAAGAAAATTTCTAGCTATCTCCTAACAGCGATAAATTTATAGTTTGCTGACATCTAGTGGTGTTTTTATGAACTACGTACGATGGCCAACATAACTTGGAAATGACATCTAGTACTAGTTTAGAAACAAGGAACCGAACTACGTATTTTTGGTAATCCTAGCAAAATTGATATGCGTCGTTAGGAATAACAATATTCTTATAATGTAATTTGTCGGTTGTTGTAAAAGTAATTTATGAAATAAAATTATTCCCTGTGCAATAATGTTTATTTTATTCCAGATACCTATTTTTAGGGTTCCGTACCTCCGTACGTACAATGGTAAAAACGGAACTTATAGGATCACTTTGTTGTCCGTCCGTCAGTCAAGACCGTTTTTCTCACGAACGCGTTTAGGTATCAAACTGTAATTCATATCTAATACTCAAGTCTACTGTTCCTTGGAGCTGTGAAAAAATCAAACTTCTAAGCCAAAGCAATCAAAAGATACAGCCGTTTATGCCGCAAATTTCCGGAAATTTTCGAAACTCGCACGGGAATCAAAACCTACAGGGTACTTCCCGTGAACTTAGAATCTTGAAATTTGGTACGAAGTAACGTCTCATAGTACAGATAAAGGAAAAATTGCGAAACCGTAAATTTTTAGTTACATCATATAATAAAAAATATTTTTGAAAATTCAGGTGTGTATGGAACCCTCGGTGCGCGAGTTCGACTCACACTTGGCCGGTTTTTTTTATTAGTGTAGTGAGTGACCCCCTCCTAAATTTTTAAACTTATGAACAATCTCATTGACTCGCCATTCCTATTGAATAGCATTGGTTTAAGATGCTCTCGGGCAGGCTCCCGTCTAAAAAGTTTATTTAGTTTGTATACTGCTAATACTTTCGTGATAAGGTCTTGTACTGATTATAACAATAGGTTCATATCAATCGATATATTTAACTGTTCACTCAAAAATTGTAAAAAATATATACACGATATGGTAGATAGTTCATAATTATTAATTGTAACCAACAAAACTTGTTATTTTTTTTATTGGTAAAAACATTAACGTCTTTTTTCTTTCTCAATTTAAATACCTGAACTCCTTCGTATATTTTATATTATAGTGGAAATTTTATTGATGTATGTTTGTTAATTAGATCTAGGTATAAGCATGAATTAATTGTTTGTTTCCCAAATAAAGATAAAATAAAAAAAAATAAAGTAAAAGCATATTAAATAATCTAAACAATACAAATATATCATCAATGTGATATAAAGGGATGGGCCCAGAGTTATCTTTTGGAAAGTCTTCTCTTTTTCCTAAATTTAATGTTAACAACAATACAACGTTATCTCAGAATATTGATGTCATAGCGTACGCCTTATTAAACGGGAGGGACATGTTCGCACCAAGTCCGCACACCGTGTGCGTTGAGTCCGTGACAAGTCCTCAGCGGACAATGTTTTATAATACGCGGACTAAAGTCTGCGCTTGCTATAAACAACATATTTTATGATTATCCAGATATTTTGTATTCATTATTCATTTACGTAGACAGTGATGTCGATTCTGGACATTTCTGGTATGATTTTTGACGTGACAACGTCTTAAATTAGGTTGCGGCTGGGAGTCACTTATGAAAAAGTGTAACGCTCGGTAACGTTACGATGAGTCTCTCGTGTTAAGTTTAAGTTTACATGTACAATGTTTTAGTAAACAAAATATATTTCTATAGTTAAAATTTGTGCAATTCTTATTTTCATTCAATTCCTTGTTCCTATTGTGCAATTTAATTATATTCATATCAATAAATATTCTACCGAGAAAAAGACGTTGTCACGTAAAATCTTCGCCCGTAAAACCGACTTTACAGGCAACCATTTTTAAACATTAATTTTAATTTGACAACGGTGCCAGAATTGATACCAGTGGCGCACTGCCTAAACTGTCAATCTTATTCATCAAGATCCTTGTCGCACTGTAACTTTATCATGGCTGGCAACTTAAAAATTGACATTTACTTTTGTTGACGTTTGATGTTTATCAATTTTGACATTTCACTATTTAGAGGGAAATCCTAGAAATTGTGTGGTATTTTTTAGTTTTTCTTCTGAGTAGCTTGTTTAATATTAAATAACTGTATAAATAATCAAAATGCCATCTATGAAAGTGGAAGGTGACAGTGACGGTGATGGAGATATGTCTGGAGGTGATACTGAGAGATCTGGGGGATCTTCCCGAGGGCCTGATAGGGACTCCAGCGCTGAGGAAGCTGACGAGCCCGACTCCGATGACTCCTCAGAGATGGACGAGAGTGAATGCGAGAGGCGCAGGAACGAATGCTTGGATAATTTAGGTGAGATGTGTTTGTGTTACGAATTTTGAGGTTATGTTTACAAACAACCTATCAATATTTATGGCTTTTATTAGCTCTAACAATAATTTATTAGTGTATTCCTTGACCCGTTTAATCTAGATATGTTTGTTGATTTGGAGATGAATTTGAAATGTCTATAAAATTGTTTTTTGTTAAAGTATTTTGCATTAACCTACTTTTTTTTCCAAAAGCACTTACATTTCTATTAAATCAATATTTTCGTATAAATTATATGTCATAAATTTTAACCTAATAGCAAACAAACTTGTTTAAAAACTAAACATTGCTAAGGCATCAAGCTATGGGTTATTCTACAATAAGAGGTTCTGAATAAAAGAGTATGCGGCAGAGGCAAAAAGTGGTATTTTATTAATTGAACACATAAATTACTATTTAAGTCTATTTAATGTACATATTCATATACAAGGGCAAGTAACTTTATACACATTTAGATACTTTCTAGATGGCCAGATACATTGAGAGGAGGGACAATGCAGCCTAAGTCTACTTTGACATGTACTAAATGTTTTAACATCTCTTAGGGTTGCTGTAATTCAAAGTATTCTTTATATATCAGTTATGGCTAGACTAAGGACGAGCAAAGTTTTTACTTATCATGCCAATATTTATTATCAGAATCTATGACTGGGTCATTTTTTACTCAAGACAGAGATTGTGCTTAGCAGCATGGTAAATAGTAATTACGCCACTGAGTTTGCTGCAAAGTAAATAGGTAGGTACCACATTGGGCGTCGGAGTGGTCCTCGTCGAAATTCAGAACATGTGAAAAAAAATTACCTTTGATTTTTGTTTGATGGTCACAGGTGGGATTTCGACCATTCTAGGGCTGCAGATGGCCCGTGGACTGTACTTTGCCCATCTGTACTGGGCTAGACTATAGACCACTATTTATTGACATTTTATAGTTTTTATACAATAATCAATAATTTTATAGGTCAAGGAACACTGTAAGTCATTGTAAGTTTTTTGCCATCACATCATGTTTCAGAGAGAGCAGCTGCTGTTAATTTATTAATGATTTAGTAAAAGTACAAAAAGAGATGTAAAATTTATTTCTTTGATTCCTAATGTATCACAGCCAAAACAATTTTTTGTTTTAAATTGTTTACCAATAACTACTCTGTTCTGTTCTATATATTAACCAACCGTAGCTTTATCATCATCACTAGCCTACTAATGTCCGCATTGCTGGGATAGGCCTTCCCTATGAATGGAATAGGGAGATTGGGTCATGACCCACCACATGGACCCAGTGCGGATTAGTGGGTGCTAATGACTGCAGATGCATCCAGGACTAATACCTTCCGAAGTACAGAGAATTTCGAGATAATCTCTGCATTAGCTTACCAATATGATAAAGCTCAATCAAATATATTTATCAAATGTTTATTATTAGTTTGTAAGCTGAAGTTCAATATTTAAATAACATGTTATTAACCAAGCAATATATCCAGAAGTAATACTTTTATGAAACTGCTCTATTACTTCATTAAAGCATACCAAAATAGTAAATATTAACAGTGCCTTTGCTTTCTATTTTCAGCCAATCTGGAGCGTCAATTCGCAGTTCTCAGAGAGCAGCTGTATTGTGAGCGTGTGAAGCATGTGGAATATCAGCTTGCTGAAGTGCGTGGTGGTCGCTCTCAGGAGTACCAAGGACCGCTCCGAAGATTACAAGAGAATATGAGGATTAGGTATAGCGGATAAGAAATTTTACATTATGTATGAGTATGATCACTTAATACATTCATGTCTTTGTTTGGTGGAAAAAATTGTAGAGAGCATTTTTATTTTTACACCTATATTTAGACATCAGAGTGAATTCTCTTATTACTTAACTTGCAATACTAAAAGTATTGTTATGATCATAAAAATATTTATTAAAGACAATACACATATGAATATATGTTAATTCTAATACATATCATAGAAATTAAACCAAATCAAATTTAGATAATGATGATGCTCAATTAATTTATTAAAAAGCTATAATGGTATAACAATACCAGAAAAGACTACAATAATGCATATACTTAGAGCATTATTATGTTATTCTGTAAGGCCTTTATTCTGTATGCTCACCATCATCATATCAGCCTTTAAATGTCCTCACTCTTTAGCACATGTTTTTCCTATGGATGGAATATGGTGTGCAATGGCCCAATCACCCCATTCCATCCATGTGCCTTCAAGGTTCATCCATTTAATACATATGGGTCCATCCAAGCGGTTCATGACTCACAACGTGAGCCCAGTGCGGATTAAAGCGGGGAGCTAGGGAAAAATGTTGGTCGCCCATCCTTTAACCGGTCATTGTGAAGGTTGCTTAACTTTCATGATCACCGACCTAACGTGTTAAACCCTTTACACCATCGAGCTCCTAATACTGTAAAAAAATAAATGGTAAACAACATAAGTTTATAAAAGGATTATCCTACTTGATCCTACTAATATTTTAAATGTGGATATTATAAATGTGAAAGTTTGTATATATTTGTTTGCTCAATCACGCAAAAATGGCAAAACGGATTTGGATGAAATATGGCACACATATAGTCATATAGTTTATTACAGGATACTTTCACAGACCTAGATTGAAAGAGACGCCGCATGTACTTCAAATCGTTTTTATGGCTAAATAAGACATTTCCTATGTCTTATTTAACATTTCTTATTTAGATCAAATCGTTTTTATGGCTAAATAAGACATAGCAAATGTCTTATTTAGCCATAAAACGATTTGATTTGATTTTTTTAAACATTACAGTTGACATACGGTATCGAGGACGGTGATGCGAAGAAACAAATTGTCGTAAAAGTTAGACCATTGGTCTCCTTTTTGGCACGCGAAGTACATATACTTGCGTTTTGTATTTCGATCTATGTCTGTGTATGCTTTTTATGAAGGAAAAATGCCATGCTCCTGTGGATTTTCAAAAAAACTAAACGTACACGACGACGCGGGTGGAAGCTAGTTTTTCATGTACGTAAATATCCAGAAAAATAAAAAAAGGAGAAAACTATTTTTCTCTCACAGCGTAGGTAAATAGGATTATTATATACACTTTCGAATTTAGCTCACAAATTCAGGGTTTATGATTGCAGCAGCCTAGAATCACATGTATAGCAATCATATAAAAATTGGGTAGTTTGTAGTTTCAAAGCTTTCTTTAAAAACTAATAGAGAGCTTTGAAAAGAACAAACTAGACCATTAATTAACCTCACAAAAATTCAAGTATTTGCATGTGATTGCAATACAAATGATTTTAGAGTCGACTCTAGAATTATTATACCTAATTCTTTTCGTCACATTTGTCTCCCTCACCTACGCGTATAAACTTTGGTACTAAATGTGCTAAAATTAGCATTTCAAATTTGAATTAATTCTAACATAACGACTTATCGAGCTTCGTTTCGATAGAGTCTAGACGATAGTTTGACTGGCGATGACACGCAAGAGGTTGTGGAGAGACGATTTTGTATGTGCAGCTGAAGGAGCGTTTAGAAGACCCCGGCAAACTTTTTGGGCAACGACCATAGACAAGGAAGCCTGCGCAGTAGCAATTTTACATACAAAAACGTCTACTGCGCTAGTTTTTTTGTGAGTTTTGCTTAAGAAGTTTGCCACAGACCGTACTTTAAGTAAGTACATAACTAAAGTAAGTAAGTTAGAGGTGATTCAAAATTCGAACGCGGATTTTAGTGCATTTAATATCAAAAGCTATATCGCGCAGGTGTAGGAGAAACATCAGTAGTAGGTGAGCTACCTTGCACCTTGTGAAGTACTCCCGCCATACCATGAGCCCTTTATATAGGGTCGAAGGTTGAGAGAGCAAAAAAAAATTCAACAATCGGCCATTACTTTTGGTCGCGTCCTAATTAGAAGTCTTTTGAATATGAGCCCGAGGGTTCACGTAATGGAATATATTTTTTCTTATATACGAAGGGGTAGAAACCCCTTCGTATATAGCCTACACAATGCCAACCGGCAGATCAATATTTTCCGTCATCAGAAACGTTACGTGAACCCTCCAGGAGCCTAATTAAAAAAGCTGACCTAGTTTAGGAGCCTAATTTGGACGCTACCAAAAGTCGTGGTCTTATGTTAAAATTTTGTTAGATATATTAAAGCTCAGGTATGGTGGGAGTACTTCAAGAGTTGCAAGTTATTGTCCCCCTTATGTTATTCTGCCCCGCTCGAGTAAAAATCCCAAAATCTCTGCTTGGACTCGCCTACTTACAGGTAACAAACAGGTTGGAAACAAATCAGCTCCCTTGGTTATCTGGACTATTATGCTACTTGGACTTTCACTTTTCGTCGATTTTCTCATAGTACTTCTCATACATACGTTTGATTCAATCAACCAGATTCATCAGGTGACGCCCGAGCATAATTCAGCCGATAAAAGATAGGTGTATTCGAGGCCTGAGCACAGATTACTTAGTAGTGTCTGTGGTAGTAAAATACAGCGCCATTTTTTCACATTGTAGACTACCTACCTACTACTATATCAAATGATATATTTCCCACTTTACTGTGCATCTACTGTAATTAGCGCTGACCCTGGTGTAGTGCGAAAGGAGCTGCAGTCGCCAGGTGGGCAAAAACCAAAAAATATTCCCTGGGAAAAATAAAATGTTATAATGATCCAAGGACGCTGAAAGACTACTTCCATACTGAGTCCATACTCTTTATAATCGCTATTGGATAGATATATCGTAAACATAATCGTATTTTGCCCTACTTTCCGACCAGGGGCATATTTTGAAATTTGGCGCCCTGAGCCATTCCTCCAGCACCTATCGAATCGAAATATAGGTCAGTGACGAATGCCTAGGGTAGAAACGTCTCTGTTTACGGCATCAAAAACTGAATGACGCTCACGATATATCGAAAGTCAGCTTTAAGGGTAGACGAAGGACGACCAAGGGTTATTTATAAATTGTTATAGTTTCTATTAAACTAATTACTTGCCTATAGAAGCTAGATTTACTTAGCGGCAAAGATCTTGAGCACAAATAACCTCAGGCAAACAAGTTTGCGCAGTATCTAGACGTTTTCGAGTAAAGTTGTTTGTTACTGAGCAGGCTTGGTTGTCGATGGTTTATGTTAAAGATGTGTGCCTGATATGTGAGGAATTGTTTGAACACAAAAATGGCCTTCTTTTCTAAAAGTTAATGATCAAAGGCTACCGACGCCGTTGATTCAGCTCACAGTTATGTATGGAAAGGAAGCTGAATGTGTAATGACTATAGAATGGACTCTGCGACACTTGCACTCTAACAACTCTCTAGAATGAAAGAAATCGATGGTGCAATCAATATCTATACGAATTTTTGTCCGCATGATAGCCTTGTCTCTCTTATACTTACTTATCTGCCCATTCTTTAATGACTGTGGTAAAGATCGTATAGCTGTCCGTTGTATTGTATCTTTCTACCAGCAATGCAGTAGCCAGAGTTTGTATTTAAGATGGGGCAGCGGTAAAGATAGGTAGGGCATAGATTTGCACTCTCTTCCCTCTCCTAGAATTTGTTCAATGGTATTTTTTAAGGTAGGGCAAAGGCATTTCAAGGTATGGCACTGCCCCATAATGCCCCCTAGCTACGGCCCTGCCTACCAGCCACAAAATACGACGTAAAGATGTATGTGTATGAGATATGTCATATGTTTTATTTCTTTTGTAGAATCGAAGTTGCCGGAGTATTGAAGCAGATGCGTATAGAGAATATAAAACACATATACGAAGCTGAGGAACAGGCGGCTCACCAGAATTTTAAGGTAAGTGCTTTTTTGATTCGGAATGGGTTCGCGCTTCGTTGCTAACGTCTGATGGACAACGTCGATGTTGTCTAGGTTGGAGTGCGCTCACCCATTAACTCATCCATTTAGTCTTGCCTTGAAGAGCTTCACCTTATAGTTGAATGGAAGCCCATGCGGGGTTTTGGGATTGACTCGACCGCGGCAGAATAACATAAGGGGGGCAACCTTCCATCTTGTGAAGTACTACCACCATACCTGAGCCCTTAATTTAGGGTCGAATGTCTAGTGCATCAAAACAATTTTTATTCAACGAACGGCCATATACTTTTGTTTGCATTCAAATCGTCAGTATTTTGAACAGGAGCTACTGGAGGGTTCTCGTAACGTTTCTATGTTAATGGCGGAAAATATTAATCTGCCGGTTTACATGGTGTGGTTACAAAGAGGTAGAAAATAGGTATAGAATTATTTGAGCGCGTCAGACATTAAGAAGGATTGTTTCGTGAACCTCCCGCTCGGGCTCCCCTAATATTATTTTAATTAGGATAGGAAATGAACGAGATTACACCGATTAATATATACTTTTTTATTTAACTGATTTACATTTCGCATAGCTTCCTTATTCTCCTACGCAACGACGAATGCGATATGTTGTTTTTTATTTACGAAAGATTGAAAAATCTCGTATTATATACGAGGGGAGTTACTTTAAAGGGAACCAAATAAATATTCAAGAATAAATAAAAACTTCAAAAAAACTAATTCCGCAATACTTTTCGAACAGCCCTCGTGTTTATTACATTAAATTTTGTGTGTTTTCCTACTTTTTTCACTTTTCTCTACTTCATACATGTTTTATTAAGACAATGTCAATCCAAAGGTGAGTTCATTTTGTTTATATGTTTTTATATTGTTCTTCATATGGCTTACATATGCATATATAATTTACATAATTTATCAGTAAAAAGAAATGAAGCGTACCTTTATGACTTTACGTACACGGTTAAAATACAGAGCTGTTTATTTTTATTTTTCCGTTTTTATACGAGACAGGGTAATTTAAAACGTTTCAGGGTAGTTTAAGGTAGTAAGTGTAAACGTCTTACACGTCTTAAACTACCCTGAAACGTTGGTGGCCGTGTGGTTTGTACGCCGGGTTTCAAGGTGTCGCCTACTCGAGAGGTCCGAATCCCGGTGGGGACAGATGTTTGTGTGATGAATACTAGCATTTGTGCTCCAGTCATGGATGTTTAATATGTATTTCTATATAAATATACTTATACCAATATGTAATATATCGCATCCCATAACACAACCCTGACAGTGCTTACTTTGGGGCTAGGCTAATTGGTGTGAGTGTTAGAAATATTTATTATTATTTACCCTGGCTCACACGAAGTTAAAGGTGAGGAAATCCGACATTTTTTATGAAGACTCTACCACAGTCCGTTTACCCAAGACAATTTAGTCGCTTATTACCTCATTAGAGTGATGAGTAGCTGTTTATTTCAGAGTTGATCAACTACAACCTTGATATTACTTATCATAATTTTGCGTTTTGATCTTACGTTTTATTTCAACAGGTTAAAGATAAGTGATATGATCGTATTGGATAGAAAGGTCCCCCCAGACCCGTCTTTCCCAGTGGGCATTTTGGGCAAGTGCCCAGGGCCGTGCGATCGATAGGGGCCCCCTCAGATCAAATACAAAGTCTCTAGTTCCTGTCAGATCACCAAACGATAATCAATATTTATTACCAAAAAACTTAGATAATTTGGATGAAATCGAACCTGACTAAATTACTGACTACAATACCAACTAGCTTTTATTTAAATCGCTCCATTTCAAGTCATAATCCACATCAAAGTTATAGGGGCCCCATTATCCTAATATGCCCAGGGCCTCCAATAGGTTAAAGACGGCCCTGGTTCCCCCAACCTCGAGCCGTTCATTATTCTTTGTATGAAATTCTGCATTGCACACTAATAAGAGACCCGAGCACGAATTTTGACAGCTTCGTAATCGTATCGCATCTTCGAAGTTTCTATGAAAACTAAGCAGCGCCCCTACCGGAGGTAAGAACAAATTGATCCCTTCTATACAAAATTTGGCGATGATGATACGATTATGGAGCTGTCAAAGTTTGCTTGCTTTCTGCATCGAAATCGGTATCGTAACGCCCCGGAACCACAAGCGACGTGTGGTCAACTCGAGAACTCTCTTTCGTTTATCCGTCCACCCGTTTACGTCTCATACCAAATAATTAAATGTTAGCGGATAGTTGTCCATAAGTTTATGCCCAGCTGTTAGCTTGGCGGCGGCTTCCCACTTGGAGCAAATATAAAGAGATGTTGTGTTTGGGTTTGCTTTAGGAAATGAAGTGAAGCTACTAAGAGGACATGGACACTACTGAGGCCCTGTCCAAGGACGAATTTTGACACTTCCGTAATCGTATCAATTTTTGTATAGAAGTTTGTTTTTACGTCCAGTCCTGCTCAGTTTTTATAGAAACTATGACGATGCGATGCGATGCGATTGCGAAATTATCAAAATTCGTGCTTGGGTTTAAGAACGCCAACACCGCCAATAAAGACGTTGATAGCGAGTAGGGAAACGAAAAAAGCTGCTTATAAGCATAGCTGACGTGTACCAATAGCGTGTTAAGCTGTTTTATTAACATGGTGGAGTAACAGAGGTGTTAATTCTGACATGATTCTCTAAACTTAAAACTAAATTTAATTTATAGGTAATAACTCATTAATTAAATTTTCTGTACGTTAATTTACCTACCTGTTACATTAAATGATAACATACTGATGTTATAGTTCTCTTAACATTGTAGATATAGTTATTTTTTTGCAGAACATGTAATTTTTGTTATTATGTACCACTGTTCAGCGGGGAGAGTACTGGTCTTCTGAGATACAGGCTGCAGCCTAGTTTAGATACCACTCTTTCCACAATCTTGTCTAAAGGAAATTAATTAATTTTGTATTTTTTTGTGCATGGGATTTCAAGAGAAAAGAAAATGAAGCATTATTATTAACTAAGCCTCTCCTTTTCATTTTGTATAGAGAATGACAGAGATACACTTGTCAAATTTAAGTTTAGGTTTAGAGAATCATGCCAGAATCGTCACCATTACGTGTATATAGGCGCGTTCTCACTTACTTACGTACGGCGTATGGATAACGACTGGTGGTAATAGCGAGGTAATAGGCGATATGGTGTCGATCCGTTTAGTTTAAGCACTAACCTTTATTTTGACTTGATATGGTTGGTCAAGAAAGTTTATTGAAGTTGGGTTTTGTATGTTTCCACTCTTCGTGAATTATTATGAAGTCCATTTTGTCCATTTTATCAATATTTAATAACACAAAATATTGTGTATTTTTTATAACATTAGGTATCGCCATTTACACAATATGTTCCAAAATTTCAATGGGCAATTACGTTCTCATTAAAACATTGATTTCTTACAATCATCTCGACTGGCTCGATATATTACATATTCCCATGATATTTTGAAAATAATCAGAAATAAATGATATTTATAGTAATTTGATATTAATTTAGTAAAGTATTTAACACAGGCAAAATATATTTTACGGAAATACAAAGACTGTTGTTTATTTTAACCATTACAGGTGGAAGTAAATGATTGATAATGCGTACAAAGAATTTTTATTAAGAATAATGTGTATTCATAAGAAGGAAATACAATAGTAGTTACTTTTCTACTACCATACTTTATTATATTATTTACTTGAATGAAGCTCATTACTAAGTCAGCAAATCAACTCAAAATGAACAGTATAATGATCTAATACGCTTTTTTATTAATGTACTTTTTAAATCATCAAAATTGGTTCATTCGTTGCAATTTTATAACTAATTTTATGGTAGCCAATATTCACCGGCGGCTGAATCGTGTGACGTCACCGAGCTCGATCACGATTCAGTCCGGTCGAACTTTGGTAGCATCTCTACGCACGCTCGCGCCCGAGCGCTAGAGCTCTGTGACGTCACAGTCACCACACGGCGAGCCGAAAATTCGTTTAGTAATTTGGTCATAACTACGTCAATATTGGTCGTAGAACAAAAATTAAACACTGTTTTTATGGAATCCTTAGCTCTATAAATCTGAATTCTCAACTAAAATCGTTACGGAACCTTATTAAGACACACAGAGACGAATACTAATATAGAAAATTTAATATTGGTTTCATTTCAGTTTATTGTTTTATATTCATACCTTAACGCGCGCTTACAGAGTTCATTTGAATAGGTATTTCGTATAACAGGATATAATTTCCATCAGCATAAATTTGATTCATATAGATAGAACCATCACATTTACAGTTGGCAAAATTTTATATTTCTAATTCTCTTCTTTCTTTCCCAAAAGTAACCCCTATATTCGGAACTTATTACATAATTTACTTTATTTGTCCGTGTTTGGGTTACTATGTATGATGTATGTACCAAATTTCAACTTGACCGGGCCAGTAGATTCCGAGAAAATTTACCGTAACTGACTGACAACGTTTTTTTATTGAGGTACGGAACTCGGGAATTCTAGAAAAGGTGAAATCTAGATTTAATCACTACGATATTCTTTACTTACTATAAACTGAGCCTGAAGAGGATCCGAAACGTCAAGAATAATGTTAAAAACTCAATAAATCACGGTTTATGCCCGTTCAAAAACTGTTTTATCAAATGATTATAGGGCATGAACACGTAAACAAATATATACGACTACATCTTGCATAACCATAATACTTGCGTTCAAGAGATTACATAGAACAGGGACATACTCAGTAATTTGTTAGGTGATCATCGTTCTTCTTTCCTTCCAATTTGTGTGGGTTCGACGCTACTTTTTCCACCAGCTGTCATTACAATCAATCAAAAAAGGGAGTCTTTTTTTGCTCTTCGAGTTTATTATAAAAACCTGTGCAGATGAGGGACTTTTCTCAACAGACTTGTTTCACATCGTGTGCCTTGATTCCGTGACAAAACTGATATGGGACTAACGTCTAGGATCTCATGATGAGACTGGATTTAAACCAACTCCCTTCTCAATCCGGGCGAACAATGAATTAAAAAAAATGATTTTTTCACGATTCAGCGCAGGCCATTTTTGTTACTTTAGCATATGTGTTAGATTAAATAGTTAGTGCTGGAAGACAGCAATATAATGAACATGCATATAAACATATTAATAAAAATCTGTGAAGTTATCTATCATAATAA